AATTAAAGCTGCGCTCGGTTAAAGCACCAGCGACACGCATTAGCTGAAGAATGCGCCTTCACCGGCCACCCTCCCCACCTGCCGCTCATACCCGGTGTTCAAAGGCTTCCTGTCTCTCGGTGCCTGCCCGTTTTTCCTTGGACTTTTCTCCACCTTGAAGAGTCAGCTCAGTTTCAGAGGCTAGCTGAGGACAAAGAGCCTCTGGCCTGTTTGTCCTGTTGAGTGTTTTGAAAAGAATGTTCTCAGAATAACCATTTCACTCTCCAGCGTGCTGGGCTGGAAGCTTTGGCCAAGCTGGTCCTTCATATCACTATGCTCATCGGCGGGGCTGCAACCGGAACAGCTTCTTGCTAGGGAGCTCACCCCGCACGGCCCCTAATGCGATTCCCTTTGAAAGCACACTGGTCTGGAATAAGCCCACGGGGACTTCACTCACAGTTCATTGGTTCACTTTTTAACACCGACAGCAATGTGCTGGGTTTTCCTCCCACGGGCAATGCCCAGGAGACAGCAGCAGCCAGAGGCTGGCATTGTCTGGTGGGGGAGCCATGGGGCTCTTATATTACAGAGCTGAGCCTCTGACTTCTGCTCTGGCTAGCACCTAGGGAAGGTCCTAGGAAGAAGAAAGTGAGCTCCTAAAACCAGTGGCTTCTAAAACCTGCTCAGCCCCAACCCACCCCTACCCTCTCTGAAGCAAAGGGAAGAAATGAAGTCCTAGACCCCACCCCACATGACTTTGATAGCGCTTTGAGCTTGATTCCATCTAAATGGATAGGTGAGTGAGAAGTGGGGTAGGGAACAGAGTAGGCAGAATGGCCTTAGCACCCTCTGAGAAGTGGGGTGCAACATAGTAATTATCAGAACCTGGCTGCACTCCAGAGAGAGCTGTGTTCAAATCCTACCTCCAGGTTTACTGTTTATCCAAACACGCATTGTTTACAAAATGTGGGTAAAGGCATCCACCTTCTAGGGTTGATACCATGATGAACTTACATGAGGCCATACAATGACCCTCGTCCAAAAGGCTCCCACTGAATGCTGCTTCCCTTCCTCCTACACCACAGGCAGGCTGCCTCTGGGGCTTCGAGCTTATTGCTGTGGAGCTGAGAAAGAAAGCTGTGTATCCAGCTCAAATGGGATCTCAGAGATAAGCAAATGAAATGGAATAAACTCAATCCACAAAGCCAAGCGACGTTTTCTGATCTCCGCTCTCCCCCGGAGGAGGAACCTTCTGAAACAGGAAGAATAGAAAGTCATTTTTTGCGACTTTGCATAATCTGATGAGGGGGGACATTCTTCTGGATGCTAAGCAGCCTCCAAGCAGATAAGCCTCCTCCACCCCCAGTCAAGGCCTGGAACATTCTGAGACTAACCCCCAACCTTTGCCTATGAAAACTCAAGATCATTCATTCTGCCTAGGTGCCTGAGACGCTGCCCAGGCTCCCTCAAGTCCCCCCAGATAAGCCTCCTTAAATCACTACAGCCATCTGCTTGAGCATAGAAATGAGCCTCACAAAACATTGCCACATGAAGTTTGTTCTTTGGGGGGGCAAAGGGGAACGGAGCTCTTAATAAAGGCCTTCGGATCTACCCTCCACAGTGGCTGCCTCCCTGGTAGGAGGGGGCCTCTCCCCCTCCAGCTGCAGAGGTAGCCTGCTCTGCCAGGCCAGCCACTTCGACATGCATGCCTTGGCATGCGTGTTATTCAGTGAGAGCAGCCCAGAACTGTGTTGCCTTCCCTCCCCACTAACTGCCTGGTGTGGCTGCCCAACCCTGGATGCGAGACTGGAAAATTTCACTCCTGGTGGCGTCACCTTCCCAGTTTGTGTAAAGTTTTAAGACAATTATCAGAAAGAACCAATGAGGGAGGAACCCCTGGGAATTGAGGGGAAAACTGTCCAGAGAACCCCTTCACTGATGGGCTTGTGTCGCACCTTATGTAGCTAGTTGTACAATTTTTCTTGGGTGGTTCCCTGGAAGAAGTGTCATATCTCTTCGGAATTAAACTGATCCAGAATCTTCTCCCAAGCAAGCAGTGGATACATCCTTCTCTCAGGTCTGGAAGCAACCCAGGAGGCACTGAAAACTCTAGGGTCCCCAGGCAGCAAAACTCTGCCATTTAAACTCTTGAATCTAGCTGAGCAGAAATTTCCAGATTTCAATTGTGCTCACCCAGGCATGATGAATGGCCTCAGACAGCCCTGAGTTTGCTCCAGCTTCTTTGCCGGCGGTCAAGTCCTTATTTGACTCCACGGTCTACACCCACATGAAGCTCAAGTCCCAGTGTGGATGCAAGTTGGGTGTCCACCGGCAGACAGACAAACCATCAAACCCCCATCAGGGGCCTCCCAACATAACAAAAAAACAACACAGCCAAGTCTTACTTGACAATGGCAAGCAGGTTGGGAGATGATCCTGAGAAATTCTGGCCTTGAGGCTCTAACCCACTGCCTTCCAGGGTGAGAGCTTAAGCAAGCTCCTCCATTTCTCTTTGTCTTAACTGTTCAGGTGTTCTAGGGGGTGGGGGTAATAGTGAGAATTCACAGGGTCCCGTATGTTTCCATAGCACGCCCAGATCTCTGCCTCCACAAATGACTGCCCAGTGCATGGGTGTCCAAAGCTATTTCTCAGACCCTCAAGTCAACTCTGGAAGGCAGACTGGAGGAGCAGCTTTCTCCCAGGTGGGTGTGGCTCGTCCAGATCAGTCTGCCCAGTACTCAAGATGGTAATGATCTTGGGCCCAGGTCCCATTCTCAAATCTCTTCCATACTCCCCATGTTCCTCTGTGGGTGTAGGGCAAAAGCTGGTCCAATGTACATCCTGGGACGGAAGGCTGCTGCCCCATCTCCTGTGGGATTTCAGGGTTGCTTGCTTGGAGGATGGGTCACCATCTCACAGCTACCTAAGAAGGGATGTGGAAAAATCCGCTTCTCCCCACCTGATCCCAAGATCAATTAGGCCACTGCGCCGGTCTCTTCCAAGGTTCTAGAGGAAGGCCCTGAGCAGAGCAGCCCAGAGGATGCTTCCGTGTAACCCAGCAGCTAGCTACCACCTTGTTCCGGGGGACTCCAGCACCGCAGAGGTCCTTGGAGCTGCAGGGAGTGGAGTGGAGGTGTGGGGACCTGCACTGCCTCATCTGCTCAGAAAGCACTAGTTCTTCACGAGGCGGGAAGCCAGGTTTGCAGGGAGCAAAGGAGTCACGTGGCTCCCACCACAGGTTCCCTTGTGCTGGGCTTCCGTTTAGGATTTGCTCTGAAACAAAGATTTGCTTCCAAAGAGGAGATGGAAAATCGCCTCTCTCAGAGCACAGAACCTTGAGTTCATGGTGAAGGCTACTGGAGACAGCCTTCTTCCGAGCCAGAAGACGCCATCACGTGCCTTCTTGTCTGTTCAGCCAGATATCAGGCACCCGCTGTGTACAGAATGCCAGACTAGGTGACTGTATATTTTTTAAAGGGAAGAAAAAGCAGTGGCCCTTGTCCTTTGAAACTTGGGAAAGCAGAACAGACACCCCCAAAGGCAGAAAAGGGGGCCAGCAATGCTGATGAGGGTAGCCAGCCTGGTCCTCTAGCTTTATTATTTCTTAATTTTTTCTATTTATTCGTATTCCCTTGCCCCCCAACAAAGATAGCTTTCCCAAAGCAAACATTTGCACATTGCTACTATTTACCACACATGTTAGACAAGGGGGGCACTCACACTTTCGGAGGAGGAAGAACACCACTCCCAGCCTGGGGTCATTAATAATCTCTGAGGAGAGCTGGGAAGGTGCCACGGGGACTAAAATTGCTAGGGCAGCAGCTTTCCCTTTCCGTATGCCTCTTTTGGTTTCCAGGGGGTCAGAAGACCAGCCCACAGGACACCGTGTCCCTCAAGGATGCAACAGGAACACCGTGTGAAACAAAGAAACACCTGGCCTTCCAGGGTGGGTTTCAGGCCTCCTCTGGGGGAGGAGGGGGCTGGGTGTTGACGAAGGAACCTGGAGTGTCTCCTAGGAAAAAGGAGTGTGTCCATCTTGGGACCCTGCCAGCACCAAAGGCAATTAAGTGAAGAGGCCAGCGGGCCTGAGGCAGAGCCTGGCATTGTTAAGGGGGAGGTGAGGAAATGCCCGTTAAACTGAAGCAGAGCCAACCAAAGAAAAAGTAAAGGTGCGGAGAAGGAGCTGGGAGAAGGAAACAGCCGGAGGCTGCAATATTAGGCTGCTCCGCTCGCTCTGATCCAGTTGCGGTGTCCCTGCCCCTACCACCAATGGACTACCAGAAGTGTGACTGTGGTGAGTCACATCCGAAGTCCCCCTCCGAAGTCCAGAGCTTCCCAGCGCCTGTCAGAGCCCCTTGGGATGGTGGTGGTTTGCGTCCGGCTTGACCAGTACAGAAAGCCTCTGATGTGATCCACATCTGGGGCTTTCGGAACCCTGGTATGAGTCTCACTCCACATCCATGCCTAGACCTTCACAGCCAGGTGCAGGCACCCGGCTATGGGGAAGGAAGAAAGGGAGCACACTCCCCATTCCACAGATTGCAGAATCCCGGGGGTTGGCCAGAGGGGTGACTGGAGATGCGGCTTCCCCGGGGTCCTTCCAGGGAACCAACCTTTCCCTAGGCTTCCTTCGCTCTAATAATGTGAATGAAGCCTGGGAGAGAAATAGAGCGAGCGTGAGCGCGGGGAGGGGAGAAGGGGGGAGGGGAAACCCCAGCCTGGGGAGTGCGAGCACGGGGCCCGAGGCGGAGGGGCGGCGCCGAGAGAGCGCGGCGGGCGGGAGGTGGGTGGAGGCGCGGAGGGCGCGGGCCGAGCGCGGAGGGGAAGGCGGACGGAGAGGGAGGAGCCCCCGGCCGCCGCCGCCGCTGCCGCCAGCCCGCTCGGCGGCCCGCGTAGCCCGCGCAGCCCTCGCTCGCCGCCGCGCCTCGGAGTTTGAGCCCCGCGCAGCCCGAGCGCAGGCACGCCCGGGGCGCGGGGTCGGAGCGCGCAGCGCGGCGCCGCCCCCCGGCCCTCGGCCCCCCAGCCCCTGGCGCCCCCGGAGCTGTGCGCCGAGGGAGGAGGGCGGGCGCGGCGGGCCGGGCCGGCGGGCGGCGGACTATGAGGCGCCCACCATGGTGCGATGCGACCGCGGGCTGCAGATGCTGCTGACCACGGCCGGAGCCTTCGCTGCCTTCTCGCTCATGGCCATCGCCATCGGCACCGACTACTGGCTGTACTCCAGCGCGCACATCTGCAACGGCACCAACCTGACCATGGACGACGGGCCCCCGCCCCGCCGCGCCCGCGGCGACCTCACCCACTCGGGACTGTGGCGGGTGTGTTGCATCGAAGGTATGTCCCCCCCCCCCACTGCCTTCAGCGCACGTACATACACGCACACATGCACACGCACACACTGCCCCGGGGAGCGGGCCGGGGGAAGGGTGGGCGCGGCGCTGGCTCCACGAGAGACACAAAGAACCTAAAGCCGGGAGGGTGGGTCCCCGAGTGGACATGGGTGCAGGAGCGTCGCGTCCCTCCAGGTTGGGGACCTCCCCAACACACGGATCCCACAAACTCTCTGGTCGCACGCGCACACCCCCTCGCGCACAGACACAATGAAACACACGGAAACTCACGCACACGCGCGCAACCCGAGAGCGGAGCGATCCCCAGGGGCCTCGCCGGCGCCCCTGGGGGAGGTGGAGGCTGGCGTGGGGGCGGGAGGAGTCTAGGGTTGTGGGGGAGCGGACGCGGGAGGAGGGGGAGGGGTTGCTTGGCAACCGGTGTCTGTGCGATTGCTATGGGAACTGGCCATCCTGGGGCGGGGCCGGCCGGGGGCGGGGAGCCCCGGGGCATCTAGGTGCTCACTCCAAGCCCCAACTGAGGGAGTGAAGGCGGGGCACATGTTGGGCCCCGAGCGGGTCAGACACCTTTCTCATATTCCATGAGGCCACAGACTCACACCTCCTTGCGCGATGGGGACAAGAAGGGAGCCACACCGCGACTCCCGTAACTGAAGCAGCGAGCCAGGGGGTCACAGCCCCTTAGCACGAAGGCTGCAAGAGACCTCTTTAGGAAGCACGTTGGGGAGGGGAGGGCTGTCCGCGGACCCATAGTGGGCTGGGAGGGGCGTGGTCGCTCTGTCAAGGCAGGGCGGGGCTCTGAGAACCCCCCCTAGCGTACAGAGGCCGGAGAGTTGTGCTGAGATTGAAATGCATCTAGAGGTCGCGATCGGGTTCCATGAACTGTGGGGACAGCTTTCAGGAGCGCGGACCAGATGCCTCTGACGCCCGAAATGCACTGGGCTTCTTAGCCCTCCTGGCGCCCTCATGCCCGACTGTGGAACTCGAACTAACAGGTGTCTACAGAGGGGCGGTCTGGTTCTGTCTGCCAGGTTGTTGTTTGATCCACTATTGGTCTTGGCTCTGAGATTAGGGACAGAACGGGAGTTGGCGATCATGGCTTTAATTTCTCAAAATCCTTGGATAGTGTTTCCTCGTCACCTTTTGTCTTGTGTTCACTCCGCCCCTGGGCGGTTGAGGAAATTCTTCCATCCTCTTACTGCAGCTACAAATCCCTTCTGCCATGGCCCCTTCGGCTAAGTGTGGTGGGATGTGACTCTTAGAAAGAGGGCCCTTCCTGGAGCCATCTGAAAGGAGGCTTTGTGATGTTGTCTGCCCGGGAGGCCCCGCTGTCCCCGCCAGACCCTGGACCCCTATCCACCTTTGTCCCCAACACCGACTCCAAATCAGGGCTGCTTCTGCACTTCTGCTCCGAGCCTGGCTCTGAACAGCCCGTGGATGACAGAAGTGTGAGATTAATAGTTAAGGGGGGAAGCACGCCTCACAAAGGAGCCAGTGGGCTCGCGATGACACCCCCTCGTTCCTTCTGAAAAACATCGTTTTGGGTATTCAGTTGCTCAGATCGTGAACACCTACTCCTCATCTGGAGAATGTACCCACGTCACTACCTGCCAGAGCACCGGAGTTAGACAGAGAGCGAGGGCTGTGTTCTACCTCACAGGCTCCACTGGATGCCACCGTGATCCCCCACCCCCGCGGACTTGGGACCTTCCTGTTTCCCAAGGGAAACTTGCACGCCGGCAAGCCTGGCCTGCATGGTGACTGCAATGCCTTCTGTATTAATTCCTCATCCTAATTAGGATTGATGCTGCACTTAGCGTCTTGCCAGCTGCCTCGAGCCGTTTGAACTCACTGTTCATCAAGAGAGCCCGGAGCTGATCAGGGCAGCTGGCTAGCCTGGCAGAGAGAGCCATCTGGGGGACTTCATGGGAAGAACTGGGCTGCCTCTGTTATTCCCCAAAGCTCGGGGGTGCTGAGGGACCCACAGACTGTATCTACCCTCCAGGGCCAGAACAGCCTCCTAAAACCAAGCACCCTGAGAGTTAGTTCAGGATTTCTTGTCCAATGCTCAAATCCATAACTGGGCAGGAGCTGCCACTTATCTCATAAGAGCACAGCATGGAAGCTGACAGCTCCCAGAGCCACTGACACCTCCTGTGATGCCAGCCAGCACGTGGTGGCTAGGGGCTGAGACCAAGACAGTGCAGTTAACCTCAGGCCACTCCCTAGGGACACCAAGAGGTGTTTCAGAGGCTGCTACTTCTGTGTTAGTTTTGGTGAGTAAAATGTACTATTTCTTCCTGGTTTATAGCAACAGCCTCCCCCCCAAGCATGACATCTGAACCACACACACACACACACACACACACACACACACACGGATGACCTCTGCACCCCCCACACACAAGCATGACATGTGCAACACACACACAAAGCATGACATCTGAACCACACACACACACACACAAAGCATGACATCTGAACCACACACACACACACACACACAAAGCATGACATCTGAACCACACACACACACACACAAAGCATGACATCTGAACCACACACACACACACACACACACACAAAGCATGACATGTAAATTAAGAGGTGGAGATATTAAAGGATGAACCCCTGGGCTAAGATGAACAACTACAGTGGGCAGTGAATAGAGTTGAGTCTGCTGGCAACTCACTGTCAATTCCATTCCTGCATGTGTCCTGTGCATGTTAGACCTGGAGAGTTCAACCCTCATTATTAAGGTGCCCACGAAGACATCTGGGAGGAACAGCTGCTGTGTCCAGCCTTGCCCCAGCCTCCCGCCACCCACCAAACAGCCTCCTCCACCCACCTGACTGTCCACTGGACAAATGTCAGCAGACTCGGTTGCACAGTGCTCCCCAGAAGTACTGCCTTCACACATGTGCAGGCAAGAGAGAACAGTTCTGGAACTTGCCCAGAGGCACCCAGGCAGGAGGCAGCCAGGCCAGATTTGAGCCTCTGACTCTACAAAGCCCTTCCTGCCATGTTACCCGGCCCTTTCCCCAGCAGCTTCTGGGTTGCCATTAAAAATAGAACCAAGTATTCGGATACTCAGTGGAGCCCAGCACTAAGGTTGGGTGGCTGGCAGGAGGGCATAAATTGCATAACACACTCTTCTCCCTCTCTGTGTCTCTGTCTCTGTCTCTCTGCGTCTCTCTCTCCTTCCATTGTGTTCTGGACTAGCTTCTGCCCTCCCCACCCTACCCTCACCCCACTGTGCACCTCTTTGTGTATCTCTGGCTGAGGCCAGGGAACAGAGGGAAGGGAAAACAATGTCATTTCTGTCCCAGGCATCATCAGCGAATGTCTGTTTAGTTCCTTGTCATGCTGGAGTGTGTAATGGGTAGATCCCGTCCTGCTCAAAGACAGAAGCTCTCTTTGGATGTGGAGGGAGAAAGCGACCCTGGGTCCAGAAGCACGAGCATAGAGCCGTGGACCAAGGCTCCACACCCATCACGCACCCCAAAGCACATACCGGCTGCTGAGGCCTGGACCCAAATGAGAGACTCGGTGTTAGCATCAGAACGCAGGTGAACCTGAACAGCACGCTTACCCTCCCCACGCCCCCACCACCACATCACCCACAGATGAAACCGCCCCCAGCACACTCACGACTCTGTCAGAACCTTAACAAGACAATCCTGACACGGGCGGGGGGGGGTGGCTCTGATGCCTCTTCTGTACAGGCTCAGTGCTGGGCACTAGACGGAAAAGGTCTAGAGAATAGGTGGAGCCTTTGCCTTTCATACTGGTGTCCCCCGCCTTTATTCCCACAATGACACACAGATGCACGCATGCATGCATGCATGCATACATACATACATACTACATACATACATAAATGCATCCATACATTTCTTAGCACTGTATCCTGCTTGTGAGAAGGGAGAGGCTACCTAGGATGCCTGCTCCAGCAGCTACAGCTATCCTAAGCCCCGTCCACCTGCCCACAGATAGGAGGGGTGTATAATCTTCATATACCTCGAGTTCTTTCATGGCGGGTGAGCTGGGAAGTGGGCCTTCACACCACACTCTGGGATGAACCAGGCCACTCAGAGAGCCTGCGTCCAAATGATAGCTTTGCCACAGCAGCTGCCAGACCCTGCATAGTGCTGGGAGCCTTGCCTTTGATGTTTGTTTTTCTTTAGCTTGCACTAACCCATAGACAGCCCATCCAGTCTGGCTAAGGCGGGTGGTAGTGGTCACAGCAGGCTTTCCATCGCTACTGTTTTGAGGTGCCACCTTCTGGCCCCCTGGGCCGTTGGTGTTAATCACAGTCATCACTTACCGAAGACTTTCATAGGCGAGTGTAATTGCCAGCAACACTTTCAGGTAAATATTAATTCCCTGACTTTTAGAGGTGGAGAGGCTGAGTTCGAGATGGGCGGAGCTCCTGTGTCAGAGTTGCCTTTCCCAGCCCACATCAGCTTCGGTGTGGGCACTCCATGTGCCAACAGCTTTATGTAAAACCACTCAGGCTTGGGAAAGGGCAGCTGACCTAGAAGAATGATTCAAAGTATGAGCGGCAGGGCCATTTAAAACGTAGGCATTTCCTCCCCATTGGATCCGGAGGTCAGGAAGACCAAGGTAGAGAGGCTGGCTTCTGGGCTTCCAGCGGGATGCTCTTCCAGGCCTGTTGATAGATGCTTGCCCTAGAGCACTCGCATAACAGAAGGAGGAAGCTGTCTGTGCAATCCCTTCTAAGAGAACCCTCCCCTACGGTCTCATCTAAATGCCCCCTCGCATGGAACACTGTTCATATTGAAGATTAGGGGACCACCATATGAAATTTGGGAGCACTCAGCAGCTGGGTCAGGACAACGGTGCTTGTCTTTCCTGCCCCCCCCCAGCAGCTGGCATTCACTCTCCAGTCATTTGGAGATCCCCTCTCTCATATCTACTTGCTATAATGCCAGATGGTCTCAGTCTCTTCTGTCTCTGTCCTCA